AATCAAAGCACCGAACGTCGCCTAAACTATACGATCTATCCGAGATTCTTCGTTAAGATTATAATAAACGCGTTTTAAAAAAAAACGTCGAGAGAATCGTAAAAAAAACGGCATCAGATCAGGAAACGGTCTCGTTAAAGTCGTAAAACGGTTTTTATCGTAAAACGGCCCAAATGGTCCTAAAACACGATAAAAACCCATCTCGCGACTTTAACGAAATCAAACCCGAAGCTACGATAACGCTTTGACGGTCTACTCGCAGACGGAAGATAAAAGGCAAGTTTGAAGATAAATAGAAGATTTCCGCAGAAGAAAAGGAAGGATCGACAGATATGGAAAGTTCCCGAAATATTCGGTTTCGAGCAAAATGGAAAGACTAAAACTGCCTAAGGAGGAGTATATAAGGAGGATGCATAGGGCAGAAGCTGGGACACGAAATCTAGAGCTCTCATCTGAGACTTTTACAACTTTTCTACACTTAGAATTTTCCGCACTTAGAAACTTAGGCTTTTTCTCGACAAGTTCGGTTTCTATGACTGGCGCTCAATTACAAGACGAACTCGCCCAGGCAGTTCGATCTCTGGTCCAGCTCTATCAACTGAACTACGTTCGACTTGATCCCCGAAAGGGGTACGTAGGCAGCCTTTCATAAGGTTCAGTCCGAAATCAATCAAACCTTTTTTTCTATCTTTTTCCGTCTTTCGTTATCGAGCTGCGACTCGACTAGATCTGGGGTTTTATGTTTGTAACTCGCTGATGGCCCCTGCGGCCAAAGCCTTTGTAATTCCTTGTAATGATCGCAACGCTCTTACGCGAATCGGAAATAAGATCGACTTTGTTTATAAATTCGTTTTATTGTGTTTTTTTTTAATTTTTCCGCATTTATTGGTTACTTGTCGTTGGCTTTCGCAGAGATCCGGTTCCTCTGGGAAATTAGGGTTTTCCTAAGCTTCCTTATTTAACGGAAATCGACAAGTGTAAATCTCGGTTCCCCCAATCATTGTATCATTGGGCTGGCCTTATTCAAAGTAACGAGTGGGCCTTTATCGCGTTTTAGGACTTTTCGGGCCATTTTACGGTTTCGTATAAAATCTCGAGACTTTTCGGGCCGTTCTGCGGATAATAGGCAAACCATCATTGTATCCTGATACGATGCCATTTTTATAAAACATCTTGAGTTAATCGTATAATCTAGCAACATTTGGTGTTTCGTTAACCGTTGCCGCAGTATACGATTTACTCGAAGTTTTACGGAAAACAAACTTTTTACGATTTTTATCGTATATCTCGTGGTTTTACGAAGAAATAATCCTTTTATGGTTTCTTATAAAATAGCTCGAGTTAATCATATAGTTTGGCAACATCTAGTGTTTCGTTAACCTTTTTCGTTTTATACGATTTACATGAGGTTTACGAAAAAACAAATCTTTTACGGTTTTTATCGTAAAACTCCAACGGTAAGACGAAATGAGACGAAACGAAGGACATTTCAATCACGGTTCATAGCACAATTAAGACGAGCAGCACACACTGTCAAGTTCAGCTCGCCCGTTGGCAAGCTGGATAGATGTGTTCAGCTCGCCAATGGACGATCTGGTCACATGTCTAGTCAGCTCGCCCTTTGGCGAGCTGGACAGATGCGTTCAGCTCGCCAACGGGCAAGCTGGTCACATGTATGGTCAGCTCGCCAGTTGGCCAGCTGGACAGATGCGTTCGACTTGCTAACGGGCGAGCTGGTCACATGTGTGGTGAGCTCGCCCATTGGTGAGCTGGACAGATGCGTTCAGCTCGCCAACGGGCAAGCTGGTCACATGTGTGGTCAACTCGCCCGTTGGCCAGCTGGACAGATGCGTTCAGCTCACCAAAGGGCGAGCTGGTCACATGTGTGGTCGGTTTTAATCTTTTCTTGTTTTCTCGACCCGAGATCCTTTAGGAGAATGTAAGGAGAAGTATCTGTGGACGTTGATTTGGATCTTAACACTAGTTTTAATATCTCGGGGAGTTTGGATGTTACGGCCGTTTTTTGCTAATTTGGCCGATAAAAAGTTTGTTTTATTTGATTTACAGATGACTTCCAAGATGACGGTTGTCAAGTTTACGAACTTGCTTTTTTAGGAGAATCCTCAGATTTCTTCTCGACACTTTTTCGTATTTTTAAAACCTAATCTTAAATTTCCGGAAAGTTTTATTCGTTGGTTCCATCGTAACCGATTTTGACCCCAACAAACAAGGAGGTCTTTTTGATTATTTCATACTTTGATACGAGTTTTCCATAACTTCGTATCTCCGTAGAAAGTCTATAATTTCTTGTACGCTTTTTCCAGGACTTTTAACCATTGATTCCGATGTGACCGATTTTGACCCCAACATAGACTTAGATTTCTCTGCAATTAGAAACTTAGTCTTTATTCTCGACAAGTTCGGTTTCTATGACTGGCACTCAATTACTAGACGAACTCGCCTAGGCAGTTCGATCTCTTGTGCAGCTCTATCAATTGAACTACGTTCGGATTGATCCTCAAAACCTTTTTTCTTATCTTTTTTCTTCTTTTGTTATCGAGCTGCAACTCGACTAGGTTTAGGGTTTTATGTTGCTAGAACTAGGTAACTCACTGACGGCCCTTGCGGCCAAAGCCTTTATAATCTCTTGTAATGATCGCAACACTCTTACGCGAATTCAAAATAAGATCTACTTCCTTTATAAATTCGTTTTATCAGGTTTTCATATTTTCCGCATTTTTTTGATTACTTGTCGTTGCTCTCGCAGAGATCCGGGACCTTTGGAAAATTAGGGTTTTCGTAAGTTTCTTTATTTTACGGAAAACGACAGTGTGAATTTTGGTTCCCACAGGTATATGGGTGTTTTAATAAAAATTTATTATATTATAGAGGATATTTATAGTATTTACATGTTCAGGTATATTCTGGAGATATATGGTGATTTTGGTGTCTTTTAGAGCCTTTTGAGTGCAGAACTGCACAGACGCGTCAGATGTTTAGCTAGGATGGAAACCTTCTCTATGTTATATTTAGCCCATATTTTGACACATGATAGAGCATTGAGTTATATTTCCAATGCCACCAGTTTGAGGTTAATTAGCATTTTTTAGCAGAGGTTATGCATGTTTTACTGAAGCGTGGTCAGTCTGCCTCACGAGAGAAAGCTGTCGAGAAGATAAAGGAAAAACAATCGATGTAGCACTTTGCATATCGATCGATATTGATCCCAGAATACGGTCCGAGCATATTTTATTCCTGATTTAGGCCCAAGAGTGACCAAAGATTACCAGAATGTCCCTGCACGACTTGAAACCCTATTTTATTGGTCTTTAAGCCATTGTTGACGGCTATGCCTATTTTTGCATGGAGAGAGAGCTTTGGATTGGAAGAGAGATCTGAACACCTTGAGAGAGGGAAGATCTTGAACTCCCTTTGTTTCTTTACTCTACTTTGTCTCTTTATTATTCTATTGCAATATTATTCAGATCATCATAATGTTCCTTATGAATATGTCTGAGTAGTTCTCTTGTTAGATTTAGGGTTTTTCAAAGGTTGATTCTTGGTTTGCTAAATATATGTTGTTATTAGGGTTACTTAATTAGTTCTTCATTTATTTTATTTTAGGGTTTATTGGTACAAGTGAGAGCTTAGCATGTTACTTGAATAAAACTAGTATGATTAGCTAGGTGCATATGAAAGTTGATCTAGGTGATTAGAGAACACATCAAACCCATTTGCTACAGCTTGTTAGAATTATCGATCGACACTCCATAGGATACATCGATCGATAATGAAAACCAGACATCGATCGACAATCCAGAGGGGACAACGATCGATACTCCCTTTAGGACTCACATACGAACATTGGATTCCTAGGTGTAAGCATTTAGATAATCTATGCATTCGAAAGTGGATAGATTATAACTTAATAAGTTTGAGTTCGAGAACAGATGATATTCATAAACCCTTTATAACCATAAATTGCATATTTATCATACCTAAGAACTTACCTAAATCTATATATCTTCCAACTTGTTAACAACCTCAAATCAATCATCTAAGCAACTACCTTGCTCAACCTATTTATTTACAGTTTTAACTATTAAACCTATTTCCAGTCTAGCTTTATTTTAAATATTATAATATATTTTGTAATCTTAGAGCATGTTTATAGGTAGTCCTTAATGGGGTTGTTAGCTTTAAAATATATTAAAATTAAAAGAAAAATGAGATTAAGGCATGAGACGCCCCTTATTTGGGGAGGCAGAGTTACGCGTCTTACGGACCACGTGTCGCATTCTCACTTGGGGAAAGGAGCGGTGTCGCCTATCTCTTTCTCATTTTTTTCTTTCTTTCTCTCCTCCTGTTTCTTTTCTCTCATGCAGAAGTGAAATCGATGGCGATTCTCTTCATCGCGATGGCTCTCCTTGACGGAACGCCCGTGACGGAACGATGGCTCTTCCGTTCCAGCCTTCGGAGCTCAAGATCGCTTTGGAGTTCTTGACGAATTGCCTTCCTTTCCTGTCTAGAGATCTCTGCAAAGACTGCGTCAACGTTCTCTCCGATCGAATCCACTCTATTGACCCTGGTATAGGCTCGAAATTCTCCAATTGAAAGTTAGGGTTTTGATAATTGGAACAAATAGAGTAGCTTAGATCTGTTTACATTATAAAAGTCACTGCCTATAGGGTTTGCTTAAGAGAAGGGTAATAACATTAGGGTTTTGATAATTGGAACAACTAGAGTTGCGTAGATCTGTTGTTATTAATCAGTTGACTGCTTACCTTCTAAAGTTATTGGCTTAAGGGTCTTATTCAACGCTTTTCTTAAGAGGAATTGTGTTACCTTGATTTTAGGTGACCGGGGTCATGGATGATCAGTATCCTCATGTGTTCATTGTATAACAGATTGTTTTGAGAATCCTTATGTTTTTTTTTTCAGATTGAGAGTGTTGTTATAGCTGTTTTTGACATGGTTGCTCTGTGTATTGTTGCTTTCAGGAGAATATCTTTGAGTGGCAATCCTCTATAAGAGGTCCAGCTGATACTGAATTTGAAGGTGGGATTTATCATGGGAGGATTCAATTGCCTGCAGATTATCCTTTCAAACCTCCTTCCTTCATGTTATTGACAGTAAGGATCTTGCTCTTTCAAATATAGACACCTTCTTGGAGTATGTAGATAATAAGCCTATTTACTTCTTTTTTTTGACTTGAGAGTAGGTATATAATGAAACCTCTTTGCTTCTTTTATTTTCGCTGCAGCATAATGGTCGTAAATCAGCATTTTGCTCTTATGATGCGAGTCAGATGAGAAGCCTAAATTATCAAGAGAGCAGAGAGAGGATCTCAGGTAATAGACATGATGAAAAATATTTAAAATTTTCTATCTGAATTTGTATTCCTTCTAATAATATATCAACCATAGTTGCTCATACCTTCTATTCTAAATCTCTGCAGCAAGCAGCATGTTCAGACAACGTTGATTTGGGAGCAGCTTGTGGAAAGTACTTCTGTGTCTCTTGTCTGATCATCGTTGATCCTGGTACCAACTAGCTACTTGCTTATTTACTAGTTAGTCTCCAAGTTCGTTCTTATTTTGTTGATTCTTTATAGAATCTTTACCAATGATTTGTCTCTTTTGACTGGCTTTTTAGGTGATTCCATCTACGGAAGTGGATGAGAGGCAAAGGTCGTGTGACTGTTGTTATTTTATGTTTTTATTTTCAAATCTATGTTTAAAAGGTTATGTTTTTGACTTTGTTTTATTAAATAATAAATTTTAGCTTTTAAAAAAAATTATGTTTAAATTTAAATTTAATATTTTTTATTGTTAAGAACTTTAATTAAGCAACTACTAATAAACCACCATAATTACTTGTATCTTAACAAAGTCCCTTAGCTTAATGATAATAGTTAAATAATGATAATGGCCCACTTAAGCAACTCTTTAGAGTATTACTAATGAACATGCTCTTACAGTCTCTTTGGATTCGGTCCCTAAGTACTACCATGTGGGAACCAAAATTAATACTGTCAATTTTCCGTCAAATATGGAAACGTAGGGAACACCCTTATTTTCCCGAGGTCCTGGATCTCTGCGGAAATACACTTAAAACGAAAAAGGATAAGAGAATACAGATGAAGATATTGATAAAGAGATTGACAAACTGTTACAAAGAGAATCTCGGAACTTAGACGACAAAACGTTCTAAGGATCCGACTTGCTAGTCTGGCCACCTAAGTCTTAAATTCGCCTAAGCTAACAACTGTTTTCTAGGTGTTGGGGTCGAAATAGGTACGACGGAAGCAATAGCCAAAAATTCCCGCAAAAAGATAAAAAAATATGTTTTATAAAACTCGAGAAATATTTTTACAAAACTTGAGAAATCGTTTTATAAAACTCGAGCAATCATTTTATAAATCCAAAAGAGAATTCCGAACAAAGGAAATCCGAGGAAAAACTCGGAAGATCGTTACCTCGGGAGAACGAAACAAACGTCGATTACACGATCGTCCGAGGTAAGCACAAAACCGCGAAAAAACGAAACCGCCGTAAAACGCGAGCTAGTCCCGTCACGACTAGCTCGCCGTTCGGCGAGCTAGAAGCTTCCCAGGTAGCTCGCCGAACGGCGAGCTGAAACGATCCGGTTCGGCTCGCCATATGTCCAGCCGACCATCCCGAGCCTCAATCTCCCTCATCCCCGATTCAAGGATTACGTCCTTCGACACGATCATTTTCCGAACCACGGTCGAAATGTCTCCCGTTTCGTTTCGATCCGTCCTATCGTTTGAGTTTTACAATAAAAACCGTAAAACTTTGTTTTCTCGAAAAGAACTCGAGGAAATCGTATAAAACGGCAACGGTTAAACGAAACACCGAACATTTTCTAAACTATATGATTTATTCGAGATTTTTCGTAAAAATCGTAAAAATGCGTTTTTAATAAAAAACGTCGAGTTAATCGTAAAAACGGCAGTGATTAACCAAAGAAAACGAACATAGCTAAACTTTACGATTAACTCGGGGAATATACTAAAAACGGCATCGGATCAGGAAACGATCTCGTACGAAGTCGCAAAATAGATCAGAAGGTTCTAAAACGTGATAAAAGCTCATCTCGTGATCTTAACGAACTCTAACCCGAAGATACGATAACGTTTTGAGGATAAATGTCAAGTTTGAAGGTAAATGGCAAGTTTGAAGATAAATAGAAGATTTCCGCGGGAAAAAAGGAAAGATCAAGATAAATGGAAGATTCCCAATAAACTCGAATCTGGGCGAAATGGAAGGACCAAATCGCCAGGGAAAGGAGTATATAAGCAAGAGGCATAAGGCAGAAGCAAGACACGTTTTTCAGAGCTTTCACCACCAAACTTAGCATTTAATAATTTTTCCGTTTTTGTTATCGAGTTGCGTCTCAACTAGGGTTTTCGGTCTTAGACTTCTAGAGTTAGGGATTTCGCCGACGGCTCACGTAGCTAAGGCCACTCTCGTTGTAACCGTTCTTACGCAGATTCGGAATAAGATCCTATTTGCTCTCCATCTCGTTCATTCTTACTTTAATTTTTATTTCATCATTTTCTTAATTATCGTTGTGCGGTTCCGTAGATAGCCGTGTCCTCTGGGAACTTAGGGTTTACCAAAGTTCCTTATTTACGATTCATTGACAGTAGGTGAATTTCTGTTCCCACAGTTTGGCGCTACAAGGAGGGGGTCGGATCTATCTTACACTGAAACCGCAACATGTCCAACGAAGAAACGATGACTGGTGACCAACAAAATCGCGATGAACGCGACAACGTTGATAAAACACCACCACCACAATATGCGCCCGCGGGCAACGCTACAAACGCTAAAGCCGAGACCAGTGAAAAGATGCTCTCCAAGTTTAACAAAATATCGGAAGAGCAGGAAAAGCTCATTGGTTCGCTCGCAAAATGGGTCAAAACCCTAACTGCGAAACAAGAGCAATTCACCCCCGCGGAACTACTAAAATCCGCGGAAGGAGGCTCGATTTTGCAACTCCTATGGATCGCCCCAGAACCGAGCAGGGTAACTTACCAGAGAAGGATTCCGGAAAACATAACCCTGACGCGACGCTAAATAAATCGGAAAAATCTCTTACTCGTGGACAAGAGACCAAGGGAGACGACATTGAAAGGGTCAATCTGGAAACGAGCGACCAAGCCGACTCGTCAGACGAGGACGCTGACGTCCATCCTAGGAGGAGGAAAACTCGCAGCCCTCCGCCGGAGCTTCTCCCGAGCGTTCTCTTACTGGAGACGAGGAGGAGCTCTACTTTGCGCGATACGCAAAAACTGCCAAGGAGCGATCTCTGGAAAACTGCTGGCGACGCTAACTGCCAAAAAAGCTAACGACGCTAACCGCCAAAAAATCAACATGATTATCAGTGAACCGCAGTATTACAACGACACTGTCTCATCTATCAAATCCTACCAACGCAAAGCCGAAACCGGGTCGAGTTGGAAGGTGCCGTCGGATGACCCTCCAAAGGGGGTGATCTCATTTGACGAAGCCGAAACCGGCGGAGTCGATCAACCACACGCTGATCCCCTCGTCATTGACTAAGTGATAAGCGACCTAGAAGTCGCTCGAATCCTGGTCGATACCGGAAGTACCGTCAACGTGTTAGCACGCATGGGAATAGATCTATCGGAAGTCGAACCGATTCCGAAACCGTTCACCAGCTTTTCCGGCGAGACATCCATGACCTTGGGATCAATCCGACTACCGGTTGCAACCAAATAAGTGACGAAAATCGTCAACTTCGCGGTAGTCAATTTCCCGGCCATCTACAACGTGATCATGGGCATGCCTTTGATAAATTCCATGAAGACGGTTCTGTCGACGTATCACTTAGGCATCAAATTACTGACTCTTACGGGAGTCGCAGAAATCTGGGGATGCCAAAGACAATCGCGATCCTGCTTCCTAGCCGAACACAAGCTGAGGCAATTGGCGGTCGCAATTGTGAAACCAAAACGGCCAAAGGTCACGCCACCGCCCGCGGAAGACGACCCAAAGCAAGCAACAGTCGAGAAACAACAAGTTTCTGCTCCCATCGCTTCTACCCAACCGGAGGAGGAAAAACCGGATGAAACATCGATCCAGCGACTGAAGTGATCGAAAAGTCTGCGACAGCCGAGTAAGCATACTCGCACCAACAATCAGAACTACGAGATGGCTTGATTTTGGAAAGGAATACGTAGGCAGCTCGCCTTAAGACGAGTTCAGCTATCCCCCTTTCCAAAACGGGGGGGGAGTGGGTGCGTATTCGAGTATTCGTATACTCCAAAATTTTTTAAACATCCGCTTTGTAATCGAAAATTTTTCGAAACTTTTTTAATAAAGGCAAAGTTAGAACTTAATAAATTTCAGCTACCATCAAAAACGAAAAATCTGCAGTAACAATTACTTAATCATCTCAACAAAACCTCGTACAGTAAATACTTTTAGAGAAGATTGGCGAGACATCGCCTAAATTCTCGAGGAAAATATTTCACTAAGTTCGTCCGCGACTATGAAAACACCAACGCTCGGCGGTTGGCCCCGTCGAGCACGCTAGCCGTACTAAACAAACACATCGACCCACTGGTCCGCATACATCCGACTAGGATAAAATAGCGCGCTATAAAAGAAATCCAAATTTTTGGTCAGCACTTCCGGCCAACTTAGAAATTCTTCCCGGTCAGAAGCTTGACTCCAACCATACGAATCGTATAAGCTGAGAACCTATCGCGTATTTTAAATAGGTATGAAATCATGTTAAAATCGCAACATGCAAAACTAAAGCCGACTAGTCATCGCATAGCCTCAATCCGAAAGTAAACCTAGGTCTTGCCCTAAACCTAGCACACTGGTCTCTAACGTCTCAAGGCATGAATCGAGATCGTAAAGGCATGTCTCTTCGCCCACATCTAAACACTCGCAAAAACCAAAACATTCCGAATTAACGAACCGGACGATTTACACCAAGAGTTAGATGCGAGACGACAACTCGTATTCTTCCCTCTACATCTAAAACGAAACACAGATTTCATACTTAGAAAATACTTTTTTATTAAAAGGTCTTCGAATACAAACAGCCCAGCAGCAGGGATTCAAAGCCACCAACGGCCAGTCCCGGAAAAACAACAACGAAATCGTAGAAGCAATAACATCACACCTCGAATCATCAAACACGGACGCCGACCCCTGGCCATCACTGGAATTGATCCATGGCTGGTCAACTTCGCCATCCACATCTGGGATCCCAGGTCCGATTTCAATTGAATCTGGCGGCACGACAATAGGGCTCCACTAATCTCACATCTGCTTCCCGGGATTAAAAAACTCGGCCTTCTTCTTCTCTCTCTTAGCCAGACGCGCTTTCTGTTTCGCAATCGCAACCTCATACGAGTAGTCCGGATCCTGGGTAAGATGCAAACCGCCAACTATACCCCGACACTCGCGGAAATCGGCGTTCGCCCTTTGCGCATCCTCAAACATCGCATAAAGAGGCATGAACCGCTCGTGGGGAGCCATCAACTCTGCAGCAACCTCTATTTTACCTGCTATACGAGCACGACGAACCATCGTGTCAGAAAGCTCTAAGCTTCGACGAGATTCAGCTTCATACTCCTCCCTCACACGAGCAGCCTCCCTTGTGGCTAGGTACT